TTTTTTACGGTAAATATGGCAATCAACGTTGCATGATTTTAGTGCAGTCTCTCTTGAGTGTGAATGACAAAGTCATTAAGTGTCTATTTCAGAGTGAACATAAGTGGAATTAAACAAAGCAAGTACACATTTTGCCGGTTTTTCGTCTTATTCACGGCACTCCAGTGCAATTGTATAGGCGAACAATACCAACTCAAGTTCAATGAAAACGATATGCAAATTAGGTATTGGCGGCCATCTTGACCATCCATTTCTGGCGATGAAATACTAACAACATTTTAAAATTCATACAATAAGCTTTCCGAAAATATATAGTTTTGTGGACAAAGGAGGTCATTTTGGTTTCCTAATTAACGAATTAAAATACCTGTCAGGTAAACTCTACCTTAAGGGAGCTCCATCGGGAAAAGCCATTGTGTTAGTCCTCTCAAATTGTACCAAGCATTGTCTTCACCACCTTGCCAAGCCGTGTGCAACCTAGGCTGCCACTTATGGGTCCATTTTTCTGGCAGGATTGTGACGTATTATTGGAAAGGTATGGCGAATATGAGTTCTGTGCAGGTAATAACAATAATGTAATATATCATTCTTTCATAGAAAAAACATCTATGGAATACAAGAAAGCGTTAAAGGATAAGTTGTTTGGAGGTAGTTTCGATCCATCCTTTCGTCCTGTTATCAACGAATCTGACCCAGTTGTCGTCAAGTTACGATACACTCCAACCCAGATTGTAGCTTTGGTGAGTAATTGCGCATTGATAAACTCAGTTCAGTGGATCATATGTTGAATTGTATGTCGTACTAACGATTTGTGAAACAGAACAACAACATCAATTCCTTGATAGTTTAACCGGGTTCATAAGAAGTTCAATTCAAACGTCGATTTCATAATATAGATTAGGAATATGTGGCTGTCTGTAAAACTGAAAGCTGATTACATGCTTTCTGGTGATTCTCACTAATCATATTGGTATTCGAAATATGTCTCCGAAATCTGATTATGGGAGTAGCACGACACACTAGAACACGCAAAGCGCACGTACAGCTTGTGTGAGTTGTCTCTGGTTGGGTTGGTATGATTATCTCACATGAGTTTTCCATTTACACAAAAGTTCATATTCGTACTTCAAATTTATCTCTACCTTTACAGGATGAAATTCGTCAAATCCTCACAACGGTAGCCACAGTGCACATGGTAGGTTAACAGCATTGTCTTTTAATAAATTTCACATGCCGTTTTTTTTATTTGAGGGTTTCAGAAACATGTTCAGGAGCTAGAAAAATAAATCCGGCATAATGAATTGAATAAAATAAACTAAAGCCAAATATTTGTAATTCTTTATAGACCTGGCACGATGACTATCTTAACTGGAATTCATCTGAATATGGAGGATTACAAGTGTTAAGACTGAGCAGCTCAACAGTATGGACGCCCCCTATTAAGCTCCGAAACAGGTGAGGTTTAAAATGGCTGGTTCCCGCCTCTCAAGTGTCATGGCGTACCAAGCCACAAGAGGCCGGTAACTAGTAACGGTTCCGGCATTCTGATTGGTCCGTCACTTTTATCTTTGCTGGTTCTATTTCCCTTGGTTACCTGACGTCAGCTCATAGGCTCGTGGGCCTACTAGTAGTCTCCTTGTACACTTGGGCGAATATAAAACTGTTTCTTTTGTTATAAATTGGCACAGAAACAGTGAGAAATGCCAGAAACAGGCAGAATGTATGGGAATGGCGTAATGAAGACTTGTTTACAGAAAACGAATATAAGAATGTTTTCAAATTACGTCACTTAGTCACGTGACTTTGGGCCGGAATCCCGGCATAGTGGAACAATATGGCGATTATCAGTTACCTGCGTCCCACTTGCCATTCGAAAGGGACGTCGGGATTCGGGAACCAGCGAAAGGTTTATACTGATGTTGGTGGCGCACTGTTCACGTAAACAAAACATCTTTGTGCAAGTGCTGGTGGCGCACTTGTCCTTGATACCTAAACACTGCTACATTGAGCACTATGTAAATCACGCGCCATTGTAGGACCTTGGAACTTTACATGATGGCGAGTAAAAAAACATTGTATATTAGAATCTTATATTGAACATTTTATTTCAACAGCGCCGACAAAGAGCATTTTATGGTGGATACACTTCTCACGATATTCAATGACGGCAGTGTTTTGTGGTACGCCTCGGTCACTCTAAACACGTTCTGTTCGTTGGATTTATTCTTTTTCCCGGTTGACGAACAAATGTGCACCCAGGAGTTCGGGATGCGAATTCCAGCGGGTCTTCTCGGGATGGATTACTTGGATTTGAAATTGATGAACGACGAGTACAGCGTCCCAGACTACCAAAACATCAACCAATTGTCACGTGATTGGGGGTTAAGAAACATGCACATCTACGTCAACGAGAAGTTCGAGTTCTTCGGACCTGTTTACTTCATCGTGGCCGAACTACATCTCTATCGTGTATCCTTCTTCTATTTAATGAACCTTGTTATTCCGTGTACTCTGATCTTTCTTCTCACTCTCTTCGGATTCTGTCTCCCGCCGGACTCAGGAGAAAAGGTGATTCCTGCAGAGAAGTTGTCTGTGTTCATTTGCGCCTCCCGGTGTCACGTGATATCTTTGTCCGTTTACGTCATAAATCCGCCATATTGTTCGTCACAGTTTATGATAATTATATCATAATGTTACTGCAAACTGTGACGTCGCTTGACACAGATTAATGGGCGAGGGTCGTCGCGACGTGTCGTGTTGATATGGGCCCCATGTGACGTATACAACGCGTGTAAAATACTTTTATTACACGACAGTTGTATTGTCGACGAAATGTGATTGAAAAACCTTTGAATCTTGGGTAATTTAAAAAAATCAAATCTGAATGTTTGCAAGGTATACTGATCAAAACCTGACGCGCTTCTCCACTAATCGTTTAAATTATTACAATCATTTTTTTTTGAATAAGTATATGTCTGTGTCTTTTATCAGAATATGTTGTTCGTGTTCACTTTTTGGATAGCCATAACTGTGGAATGTGTAAATTATTCCAAATTCCAATTCCAAGTGTCCGCTAATTAGTACTTATTTGATTGATCATATTGATGTCAGAATTATCATAGATAAGGATCTACATTAATTTTCATATCGATAGATGATTAGTGGATTTGCTGCATTGATTTTTTTAAATTGTCATGAAATCTGTTTTGTGACCAATGTTATCGTTCCGTGAAATATTAGACTATGCGATGTATTGATTATTTTAAATACATGGCCGTTGATAGAACTCTTAAAATAATTAGATACAGCTATGAATTCTAAAAATTATAGAATGTTCATTTTGAGTAAAATTTGTCAAAAATGTCGCAGTGGCAAATTGAAAGTAGTCTCATTCTACATTAAAGTATAATCTAGTGTGCATCTCAGACTAATATTATTGGAATTTTATTCGCTTCAAACATGACTGTTGCGATATGGGTCTATCTTTCATCTCCAACTCAACAGAAATTCCTACATACGATTAGTTGATTTGACGACCCCCTAACTCAATCATGATCAAAACACATACTCGGTAAAATACTCTATAGTCAAAAAATACCTGGCGCGGATAACTTACAAATGCATATATTTTATTGCGCATATTACTTTGATTGCTAAATCTTCAAACGTTGCTGACAATACAAGAGGCACGAGACAATGGTAACACACTTGGACTTAGAACGAGCTTGCTGACGTCATCAGACTGAATATCACGTGTGTACGATACCTGCAAATGACATATTATGAGTTGGTTAGCTTATTACAAGCAGCTTTACAATTTTTCACATGTACCACAACTCGTTGCTTTAAATTGTCCTATCCTACAAGTTGCGCCCTCCAGCGACACTTGTGTGAGACAAAATGGCGTGCAATAATAGATGAAAGCAACGTTGTCCAAGGAAACAAATGTTTTGTTGAGTGGTCATTCGTCGTTAATTTCCCAAAAACGTTGCTTTAGCAACGGACTACGACATTCTAACAGAATATCTTTAATCTTGCTAGGTGGGACTGAGCGTTACTATAATATTGATATGTAATGCAATGGCTTTTATGACGCCCTCTGCGGCAGCTGGTGTTTCTATGTTAGGTGAGAATCAACTTGTTTACATCTTTTTTGTGATCGATGCTTTATAATCAATAATCATGTTTCCGGTTCTTATATCACTTTTTCTACATCGCATGACATAGCTAAGGTCAAATCTGGGATTCAACATGATGCCGGAAGCGAGGAATGTAGAACGTGTTACTCAAGAGAGTTAAATACGAGTCTATGCATGAATGGCGGCAAATATTACAGTAATACTAGGAATCAGATGAAATTAAGAATGTGATTTTTGTTTCGTCGTAAAAGTGTTTAATCCTTTTTATACAGCGTTGGTAAACATCTTGACGATGATTCTGGTGGCTGTCTTTACGGGTATGAACGTGATAGTGCTGACATATTGGTATCGTGGTCCCGAATGTCGTCCGATCCCGCAGTGGATGAGAACAGTTGTGTTGAAATATTTAGCGAGACTCCTCTGTATGAAGAACGAAGTTTTACAAGTCACTAAAAAAAGTAAGGACAAACTAAGTCGTATATGTGGAGCCACATTGTTACATGCATGCTGCACAATGTGTTAACTATTTTGATAAATATTTTGGTTCTCATTTGTTTTGAAAAAAAGTTTAATTATTCCCTTTTCATGCATAATTTTTATGTTTTACACAGGGGAGAGTGAGCGACGACACAGTCAGATCTTTAAGACAAACGTGTCACTGCGCACGCTCAATGACGAAGGCTGCAGTCGTCTGCTGGATAACGAATGTTTCGAGCTTAAAAATGGGACCAACAGAAAAGTTCGGTCGACTCGTGATTTCTCGAGTGTTTTACAGAACACGGCCTCAACTAGTCAGGGATCTATGGACGGCACATGCGTACAAATACTGGATGACATAAGCAGCAATCTCAATTATTTGGTTGTGAAATCAATGGAAGAACAGAAAGAAGATAAAGTACGGAAGGAATGGAGGAAGTTCGCCATGATTCTCAACCGATTTTTTCTATTGGCGTTTGTTGGGCTTGTCCTGCTTGAGATTATGTATCTGTTTTTACAAATAGACGCTTCCAGCAAAAACAACTTCTAACTACCATGCTGAGAGCCGATTGCCTGCTATTGGGACCGGGCTGGGAACAGAACTTAGCGGTGCTAAAGGTGCAACAAAAAAATCAGAGTGCATATAACCGAAACATTCTTCAAGGTGGTTGAACAGCCGAGCAAATATTAGTCGAAGATTTCGTTATTATAATGTACCAATTACTCAACATTACTTTTGATGCAACCCATACAAATGGGCAGGTTTGTTTGTTTGTTCATTAAAATGTAGCCACATATTGGAACTCAAACATTTTCATTTCTTTATCGTCGTTTAGGTTTTTTGTATGATACATTTATTTGCAAAATACTTAAACATAAATCCAATTCAATATCTGAAGAGCATAATGCGGTACTTAGGGTAATCACATTAAAGACATGTAACAACATTTGGGACAAAAAGTTGTTCTTAGTTAATTATCAATATGTTAATTCATGTTAAAAACAGTTTAATAGATCCTTTAAAGACTGACGTCACTAGACATTACGTCATATGGTTAATCACTTGTGAAGACGTTCGATTCGGACAAAGAAACAAGTAAACACAAAGTAAAATAACGACAAGCGTATTTAGTAATTATTCTGTTGTGTCATTGGAATGATTTAATAGGCTTCCTTGAGAATCAAACTAATCTAGTCAGGTTGGAATTGTTAATATCGTTTAAGCACATAGTTTACATTTGATTATACACATGAACGACGACGTGGGGTGCAAATGAATCTGGGCCTAGTCAAGAAATAACTACTAAATGGACAGAGGACGAACAGTTGAAGAAAGACGCAGTTATATAAACATTTCAAACCACCATGTGTCTGTTCTAAAAAAAAAAAAAACTTCGCAGTTCATACATGCATAACGTTGATTGTTAAACAAACATGTGATGTTAATAATTCTGGTATGCAAAATTATATGTGAGTAAAAAAAAACAAGAATTGATGAAGTCTACGCTGTGTAGTATTACGAACATTTGTAACGGTATGGATAAAGACCCTTATAAGACTTTTATGAACAATGATAGTGATATTACATTTATTTGTTTTAATAAATAATTAGAACAATTTATTTAATTATATTTTGTGCCCTCATTGTCGATTATTTTCACGGAAGTGATTTAGGTCACTTCATTTGTTAGTTGTGCACACCTCACCTGAACAGTTTTTTCTTTTATGTTACTTTTATATCTGGTTGACCTTCGACCTCTAACAATCTTAAACTCGTGGGCTGTTAACTGCTGATTGGATTACACGGTTGCTATATGATCAATACCACTAGATTCCACATTGGATCGCCATTTGCTGTAAGGATGAGGTCACACACATATCCAAAATACAACTATTAAATTAAATGTTTTTTGTCAACATTCCACCTACTTATAATTTCTATTCTAATCTCGGCGACAATCAGATTTTTTTTATTTGAGAATGGCTTGCCAGAATTGCTAAAATCAACGACAGAATGGTCACAAAATGCAAGTAAACAGAATATACACTCAAATTAATGTCACACACAAATTTAATTTGGGTTTTAGCATGAATTGTAAAAACATCACTACATTATTTCGAGCAATTGTCTCAAACATTCGTTGATAACTATTATGACACTAACTAACTTTTCAATTTTAGGAACACCATGTCTGGCCGCCATCGGTGCAGGCTTACGTTGAGTCTTGCAAGTAGCGGCTAACAAGCGTGTCAAATTCCAACATATGATTGGCACTGAATCGATGTCACCACAGGTTCATGCTTTTTTTACTTTTGTTCATTAAAACCTATTCATGGATGATAACTGGGTGGCTAAAATCACGTAAAATATCTGATAAGATGTCGTCAAGAACGAAGTGACCATCTTGCCTCCCCATATACTGTATCTAAATACTGATATAACATAAATTGGATTACGAGTTGTGCAGGTACATAACTGATGATGAAAACAAGAAACAAGTTGCGCGATATTATAAACGGTTGAATCCAGCAATAATAACAAAATACTTTTTCATTTTCAATACCAAACCACAAAGTGAGGAATGAGAAGATGTCTTAGCATAGGAACTATGACAAAAGGCTCAAACGGACAAGATGTCACAAGTAGCTGCATTTTGGAACTGTCAATGCACATGTTTTGAAAATACATCATTAATATAGGGCAACGACCCAGTACGAATACCATTGGAGAATGTAAAGTCAATTCAATTCTGCATGAATTCCATAACAGGGGAGGAGACCATGTTCATACTTTCGAATGGAATATGCTAT